TATTAATAAAACTGTATTTATTGTTATTGGGTTCTAATACAAATGTAATTATAGTAATTGGTTTGATGTATTAGAACCCAATAACAATAAATACAGTTTTATTAATATCATAATTATTACCAGTAATAAACAAACATTACAGTCAGTCTAAGCACACAATTTTACACATTTGCAATGTAATACCAAAGGTATTAACTGAATTACTGGTATGTGTAACCATGAGTACTGTGTATAGTGGATAGCTGTGGTGTTGATATTAATGGTAGATGTATGTGTAACCATGAATACTGTCTATAGTGGATAGCTGTGGTGTTGATATTAATGGTAGATGTATGTGTAACCATGAGTACTGTGTATAGTGGATAGCTGTGGTGTTGATATTAATGGTAGATGTATGTGTAACCATGAGTACTGTGTATAGTGGATAGCTGTGGTGTTGGTATTAATGGTAGATGTATGTGTAACCATGAATACTGTGTATAGTGGATATCTGTGGTGTTGGTATTAATGGTAGATGTATGTGTAACCATGAATACTGTGTATTAATACCCAATGTAACTGTATCACCTAGATATTAATTGTAGATAGGTCCATAACATTGGTGCTCATATTATTTATAGAAAATGTACATGTATTATTCAGACTGTAAAGACAATATCTATAAATTAAACTCTCTTTATTAGGACCCAGTTTTGGAACTATTTTAAGAAATTCAACATGTAGATATTCCACCTATTGTCTGAGCACTACTTATATTACATTATGTGTACATATACTTTGTAACATATTTGATATTAACTGTAGTTGCATATAATTATGATTGTTATTGATGGATACTAGTTTTTTGAATAGTATTAGTAGAATAAGTATACTAACTTATTTTGGTGATAAATTTTACATGTAAGCATATTAAAATATATTTCTATTTAGAAATAACAACATAGAGGTTTGTAAGTAAGTTCATCTTAATATGATGTTTATTTATAACACCTGAAGTTTCAGTATTTACTTTTGAACAGAAAATAGTAACATTTGAAGGAAATGTGTTTTTAGCATTCTGATGAAGCACCTTGTTGATGAATGGGATAAGCTTCCATCTAGCTTTCCACGGAGTTTGTTGAAGGAGACTCTGAGTACATTCCGAGTTACAAATGAAGAACTTTCCTCCCAAGGAAAGACCAATCAGGAAGGATTTACTGCCTGTGTTAGCAACTGTAATGTAAGTTGAGGAATAATAGAAGCTTCAGAACCTTAAATTAGTTTTGATATCTGCATCTGTAGGTGTGTGAAAAAAAACAAATATATTTATGTAAAGATGCCATTCTCTTTTTTTTTAATTGTTACTTGTGCATCAGTTATGATTATTTTATTTGCACTCGTGTTCAGTTAACCCTATTGCTATGGGTATTCTTTACTTCGCATGAGACAACGTTTTAGTGTCTCACATTCAAAAATGTATTAAACTACTTTTTGTTTATGTTATACCAATTAGTATAGCCTAAAATCATAGCTAATAATCCATATTTTCATAATATATAAGTTTTAAGTTCTTACTTTTATAAGGAAATATTTAACAAATCCTGAATTTCCCATAGTGTGACACACGTGACCCCTTTTTATCTAGATATGTCTTCTCTGTTTTATCCACCACCCCTCCAATAACTACGAGTACAAAGAGGTCACGTGGTTAGTCAAATTGACCGATCTTGTATTGAAATAGTTAAACCAGATTAATTCTCAGATGAAAAAGTTTATTATGTAATTGTGAGTATTTACAAAATTTCCTGATGTTTGCTCTGTAGATCATCATTGTCATGTGGAAATATTTTAATTTCATATGGTAATTTGTTTACCAAAATCTTGCTAAGTAAGATAACTTTGTATATACAGTTTTATTCCTGGAGCTTAGGGATGTTAGAAAACAATAGGAACATGTTTTACATGCTTATTTGAGCTGGTTAAAGAAAGCATGGATGTTTAGTTATTTTGATTTTGACATATTTATCTTATTTGATAAATGTGGCTAAAATTATAACAATATGTAAAAAAGTTGGTACATCAACAGGCCTCCCAACGAACTTTAAAGCCTGTGTTTTAATTATTCAGCTTGTAAAAAATATATATTTACAGAAATATAACCTGTGCCTCTTCAGTTAAAATGTAAAATTTAGTCCTAAGTTGTAACTGTCATACAAGTGCTTTAAAGCAGACACTTATTGTGGCCAGTTACACATGAATATTCTCAGTTACAGGGTAAGAAAGATTATCTTTAATTATTAGGTAGAAGGTAGGAAACAACTATATTTGAAATTTAGTCTTTTATTTTAAAGGCTGGCAGAATCAGACATTAATGGGAGGCCTGCATCAGTAAAAAATTAATGGTGAAAAAGAGAAAATATATTGGTATTTCAAAAAACAAAGGCATAAAAGCATGAATCCTACTACTGTATCAATTTGTTTTTATTATAAACAATTGCTTCTCATGCATATTGCAGTGTTGAGAAAAGCTGGCTTATGCTCACTATTAGGTGGTGTAGTTTTTCTGGTAACTTTCAAAAAAAAATTTTTAAAGTTTGATCAACTTATTTTCATATTTATGGTATAGATAGAATAAATCTTTTAATTTATGATACTATCCAGTAATCACTGAATGATGTTACAAACATTTAATATTGAAGGTTCTTTTTGTTTATCATTAATAGTGCCAAAATAATTCAGATTAGTATTATTGTAATAAGAAATAAAGATCATTAAGTCCTTCTAATGTTATAGTGTGGTTTTTAACAGGCACCAACATTGTTGTTACAATTTGAACATAACAGCATATAACCCCATTTAAATAGGAAGAAAGTGTTGTTGATCAAATTATGTGTAAACTTTTCAGTTCCATGCTTTAATGCTGCTTAGATTATTAAGTATCCAGCCAATTTAAAATGTTTAGTTATTATAATACCTTAGGAATAAGCAACCAGCATGTTTGAAGCCTGATGTCAAGCTTGTATCTTATTTAAAGAAGGTTTTAAACACTAATTCTAAGGATCCAGCTCTTATAAGTATATTGTCAGTATTCACTGGAATAATCAGTGTGTTGGAAGGATTTTGCCAGAACTACACGTAATGAATCGGAATGTTTTTGAAACGTACTGTCATGATTGGCTGTAAGTAACCAGCTTATAGTAACTATAATGAAGCATGTTCTCACATTACGAGGTCAATGTATTTGGTATCTCAATTGAAGCATGATGTCAGTGTGCTAACTATGAATGACAAGCTTGGTCACCATTACTAGCAATGAATAATCAGTTCCATAAAATCACTCTTTGAATACTGACTGCAGGAAATCAGCCTGCTGGGATAATGTTGTCTGTAATCTATATACTACTAAAACTCTGAGATTGTTTGTTTGTGTGCTTGTCTGTAATTAAATACAGCAAAAACTCCCAATCAGCAATCAAATATCTTTTCTTGAATTATGAATAACACGAATGGATTGAAATATTTAATTAAATTATCTCAAAATAAACCTTCATTTCAGTGCCATATTGAAATTAGCTTGAATTCATCATAACCTCTGAATAGTGGGTGACCCAATGAGTCACAGTGGTGTAGTAACTATTAAAATCATTTTGTTTAAAACATTTTAGTCAGTATGAAGAACCAGCTTTGTAAGAGCAAAGTTATTGCAGTACTACATATGAAGGATTAACTTATTTGAAATAGTATGCTATACTAACTTTGTTTTATGGTTAGTAACTATAAGTAATGCATGTTTAATGTGTTATGGTTACTAACTATAAGTAACACTTGTTTAATGTGTTATGGTTACTAACTATAAGTAACACTTGTTTAATGTGTTATGGTTACTAACTATAAGTAATGCTTGTTTAATGTGTTATGGTTACTAACTATAAGTAACACTTGTTTAATGTGTTATGGTTACTAACTATAAGTAATGCTTGTTTAATGTGTTATGGTTACTAACTATAAGTAATGCTTGTTTAATGTGTTATGGTTACTAACTATAAGTAACGCTTGTTTAATGTGTTATGGTTACTGACTATAAGTAACGCTTGTTTAATGTGTTATGGTTACTGACTATAAGTAACGCTTGTTTAATGTGTTATGGTTACTGACTATAAGTAACGCTTGTTTAATGTGTTATGGTTACTGACTATAAGTAACGCTTGTTTAATGTGTTATGGTTACTGACTATAAGTAACGCTTGTTTAATGTGTTATGGTTACTGACTATAAGTAATGCTTGTTTAATGTGTTATGGTTACTGACTATAAGTAACGTTTGTTTAATGTGTTATGGTTACTGACTGTAAGGGATGCTTGTTTAATGTGTTATTAGCTGTATAAACTAGTCACAAAACCTAAATGGTGATTATTTGTATCCTAAAAATACTGCAGAAATAAAATTAAGTCTCACCAAAATAACTTGGTTTAGTTGTACAAATTGCTACATCATAGTTTAAAGTACTGTGGTAGGTGAGATAAGTCATCCAAAAAAAGATTACAAGAACTGAATTATGCAAATGTTTAACCATAGAATTACAGATGAGGCCTATATACACCCTATTGATGTTTTAGACACTTTTTTTTTCAAATGTTTGTGTTCGAAATTTCTTGCAAGTCCATAGTTCTGTGGGTTACAGGGTCCCTAATAAACTTCATATTGAAATTAATCCTGCTAATTACAGGATTTGTAGCAGTCATTTCATCATCAAATCACTTTGATGATACCTAGGAAGTCACTTTTTCTTCTAATTGCAGAATATTTACATGGGAGTATTCATTCTGTATAGTTTCATATAAAAAAAAATAATGATAACGAAGAAATGGGTTCATGCACTGTTGCACGTGTAGTATTAATTTATTAGTGTTGATTAACTGATACACTGCACATTTATATACAAAAATTGACTTGTTTTTGTCATGAAAAAAATCTTTGCATCATTTTAATACATATTGTCCACATGAAATGGCTATTGAGAACATAATTACCATATACATAGAAAAAAAGAAAAAAAGTATGTATTGACATGATTAAAGTATATTTTTTTGTGGACTGATATATGAAATTTTACCACATTGTGTCACAAATATGGTACATGTATTTATATCTGAGAGTTATAATAGTGTACTTAATTTATATTCTTACACTGTTCATTCCTTTTAACTTTAAAGTTTTTCATGTATCGACAAAGAATATAACAGAATTAATGCTGTCAATGAAAATTACATGTTTCCTGCTTCATCAAACTTTTTTCATACCCATTCATGTTAATAGTAATGTAATTCCAAGTGTCAATATCTGGATATTTAATGTTTTATATTGTACATGGTAATATCTGGATAATTAATAGCCAGTAATGTTTCTATATTGTACATGGTAATATCTGGATAACTGATAGTCTGTAATGTTTTGTATTGTACATGGTAATATCTGGATAACTGATAGCCAGTAATGTTTTGTATTGTACATGGTAATATCTGGATAACTGATAGTCAGTAATGTTTTGTATTGTGCATGGTAATATCTGGATAATTAATAGCCAGTAATGTTTCTGTATTGTGCATGGTAATACCTATATATATATA